ACGGCTCGAGATCTAAACGTCAGCAGGGCTGGTACACCCAGTACGGCAAGAGAAGCGGCGAGACCACGACGGCGTCGGGTCGGACCGATTTACCGGAGGACCTCACGAGATTCGGCTGCTCTTCGTCAGAATTTCGCCGTCAGATCACCGAGAGGATGACGAGTATTTTAAAGGATATTTTTAGTTTGGCCGACGAGGTGCAGAGCGGGGGCCACACGATCTCTCAGGTGGGAGACGCGGGTGACGCTGACGAGAATCCCGCCGACGCTGCGCCCTCCTTGGCTGCGTTGGACAAGCGTCACCAGGGCTGGTACACTCAGTACGGCAAGCGTTAGAACCCAGGGTACGCAAGTTTGTGACAGAGTTTCGTTTCGAGTTGACTGGAGGGGGTCTGGTTCGAATGTCCTCTCAGCTGCGTATCTCAGGTCGGAGTGCAAGTTGTTGTCCGGTGTCCCGTCAGGTGTCGCTGGAGACGCTTGAAGAAAATAAACACGATGCAATAGTGCTTTCCTGAGAATTTAACCTTGTTTCTTTTTGGTCTCATGTCATGTCGCGAGAGTTGGTGTTCGTCCGGGAATGCGTTCGTTTACTCGTGTCTGCTCTTGTTAAGTCCCTTGTAAGTCCCTTGTTTCCATATGCACGGAAGCCAGTAAATCTGTATGCGGTGTTTCTCTCGGGTATGTTCTGTATGTGGTAACGTTAAAATTTCTCTAGCGTGTTCAAGGCTGGGGAAAGTTGACGTTCATCTGTTTTGGTTGTTTGTTTGTTTTTAAAAGTATTCTGTGCTCATCTCGAGTGTCGGTTGTTTCTCATGTCCTATGTCATTGTTGTAGGCATTTTATTTTTGACATCGTTCTTGTAAATGTGATTTTTTTTCTTTTATCTTAGAGCACAATCATACATTCAATCCAAGTCTCAGTATTTAAAAACAATATAAATATTAGCATTTGCGGATTCACCAACATGCCAGTGAAAAACTGCCCATTGTAAAGAAGTGCTCATATCCAAGTCCTTATTTACATATGTTAACTGCTTTACATGCGGCTATAAATGTCTTTGAACGCCTTACCTAATCTAAGCTGAGTAAAAAAAGACACATCTTATAAACATGCAACAAAAACTTGTTTTCAAATTTACATTCTATATTTGAAGAAAGATAATCTTATTACGTTAATTTTAAAGCTAAGCTAATTGGTTAAACGTGTGTGAAATCATTTAAAATCAGGGGGTAATAAAAAATCCTTTTTCATGGTTCGTTTTTTTTTTTTTTTTTTTTTTTTAAAATTTTTCTTATTTTTTTTTTTTTTTTTTTTTTTTTTTTTTTTGCTTCAAAACTATCCTCATTTTGTGTGTGTGTGTGTGTGTGTGTGACTGCGTTTGTGTGAAATTAAATAAATTATTAAAATAATGTGAAACTGTTTGAAGTTATTCTTTATCATCCCAAACAAAGTTATTTGAAATAAACAGATTCAATACAAAGCCGAAATGCACAGGCTTCGTGAAATCGTTCATGAAAAAAAAAATCTTTTGAAATCGCTTTAGTAATTTAAAGTCAGATAAATTGTTTCGTTAATTTTCATAACGAAAAATGACGTGTGAAATATCCGTGAATAAATTTGAGCACATTTCTTTTCAAAATAAAGCGTAGTTTTGCAAGCCATTGAAATACACTTTCATATGTGTATGCTGAGCTGTATGAGATAACGCCAATAAAGCGAGTCATTACCTCACCGCTGACGTCATGCCACGAGGTCGGTCGTCAATAAAGTCAGCATTCGTAGAATGTTCTGTTGGGCTAAAGTGGGGGGGGGTGTTTCCAGGGGGTGGCAGGAAGCTGTATGAGATAACGCCAATAAAGCGAGTCATTACCTCACCGCTGACGTCATGCCACGAGGTCGGTCGTCAATAAAGTCAGCATTCGTAGAATGTTCTGTTGGGCTAAAGTGGGGGGGGGGGTGTTTCCAGGGGGTGGCAGTTAATGGGGTGGGCAATTAGGACGAATCGAAAACCCGTGAGATGATTATCCTTGCATCTTAGTGTGTAAGAAGATGAAGGCCTTGCCGAATACACTATCAGATCACCCCGTGCGTAGCTATACAAAGAAGGCAATCAATGGTTATTTATAAGCATAGGTTATTTTTACCGATTGTTTTTGGTCTGTATCATTGCGCTGTCTAATGAACAATGGAAACATTTTTTTTTAAATATGAGATTTTGACATACTATTAGACAGCGTTTGCTTGAAGAAAAACAATACACATCATTTTGTTTGTTGTTTCAATATTCCTGCAGAGTTCGGACTGGTATTACTGGAAAAGAGCATAAGCGTAATTTGATGTTAGAACAACGGATCCTTTCTTCACCAGTCTTGACACCTCCTGTCATCTTGGTTATTTTGGAAAATGCCGTTTCCGGCAACAACAATGGCGATCACTTCAGTTTTCTTTAATTATTTTCTATTCCTTGTCGTATCTTCATTTGTCCCGTCCTCTCAAGAGGGCTCTTAGCCGAAACGTTCTTCTGGTTCTGGTTCTGGTTCTGGTAGTGTTCGTTGCTGCATCCATATACTAGCATCTGTGCAATGGCTGGGGAAACCGATGTTGCTATTCTAAAAGCCTAAGCAGATGCCATGGCAGCCTTGAAGGTTTCCACCGATGTTCTTATCTTATTGAACCTGTCTTTCGATTCGAGCCTCCGCATACCTTGTTGTACTATGTCGTGGAACAGAACCCTCGTTGTTGCTATTCATTAACATCAACACACGTTGTGGCTGTCGGGCAAATAGACACCACACACCTGAGTTGCATTCTGGAGAAGACAAATCTCATTCGCACACCTTTTTTTTATGTCGGCGCATATTACTTAAATAAATGGCAGCATATTGTTCCATCCCATTCGATGAAATGTAAAGTTTATCCCAGGCTGAAGTACTTCTATGAAATGTAATGTTTGACCCAGGCTGAAGTACCTCTAATAAATGTAACGTGTGTACCAAGCTGAAGTACTTCTATGAAATTTTAATGTTTGTACCAAGCTGAAGTACTTCTATGAATTGTAATGTTTGTCCCAGGGTGAAGTACCTCTATGAAATGTACACGTTCAGCACACCACATGCGGATACCATGGGTTAACTTGATCTACAATCTTGGCACAAAATGACATATGTATGCTTTATTTTCAAACTCAGCACAGATTTCTTACCTGTTGAAAATAAAATCTATATGCAGCTGTTTAACATATCAGTTTGGGAGGGCTTAGACATTCACATGTATGAAGTCTAAACAGATCTTAAATCAACATCTAAATGTCTTGAACATAGTTCATAGAAACAGAACAAACTCGACTGTGTTCCTGTGAACTAAACCATTTTATGGCAATGCTATCACAAAAATGGAATCGACAAATCTCTTTATGAGCACGCACTCAAAGTTGGCTATTTAAAAACGTATAAAACCTTTTATACGGAAAAGAATTACGTATAAGCTCAACACTATCTTAGCAGCCAGAGCTGTTACGAAACAACTCTGATACAATGTTAGGAATTAGCGCCCTAAATAACACCGGGAACAGACCTACAACTCACTGCACCGTTTTGGCCCGTGGAATCAATGAAATTGACAGTATATTAAGGTTTAATTTGATCACTTATCAAAGTTTTACAATACCACCAAAGATTTAATTTGAACACTTATCAAAGTTGTACGATCCCACCAAAGATTTCTTTTGATCACTTAACAAATTTGTATGATCCCACCAAAGATTTTATTTGAACACCTATCAAAGTTGTGCGATCCCACCAAAGATATAATTTGATCACATCAAATTTGTACAACCCCACCAAAGATTATGGAAGCCGGTCGCACTATTACAAGATGAAAGGGATTTTACCCAGGAAAATAAAAATAAATATTGAGTTCATTCCCTTGGATAACAGTTTAAATTATGAAAGTTAAGGGGACCGCATGACATTTTAAATTTAGAAATTGTGAAATTAAAACAATTCAATACACTTTCCATAATATCATTGAACAAATTTAATCAAATAAAAAAAATGTTCATTGAGCAGAATTTTATGCATTCTCCTTGTTAAATTATTCCTTGCATAATACACGGATTTCAAACAAGACTAATGAATAGATAGATGGCTACACAGCGGAAAAGTTAATAACTGAATGGCTGAATAGCTGAATGGCTGAATGGCTGAATAGCTGAATGACTGAACAGTTGAATGGTTGAATAGATGAATGGCTGAATCTTTAAATGGCTGAATCGTTGAATGGTTGAATATATGAATGTCTGAATCGTTGAATGGCTGAATAGTTGAATGGCTGAATCGTTGAATGGCTGAATAGTTTAATGGATGAATAGATAAATGGATGAATCGTTGAATGGTTGATTATCTGAATGGCTGAATCGTTGAATAGTTGATTAGCTGAATGTCTGAATCGTTGAATGGTTGATTAGCTGAATGGCAACGTCTGAGGTTAAGTCCAAGGCGTCTATAGTTCAGCAATGGTAAAACTGCGTATCAACCGTTGTGTTGTAGCTACAAGTTTGTTGTATTTTAACCAATGATGATACAGCTTTCCACCGAACGTATGTCGTATCAACACCTCGTAATGTCTTACCTGGTTGACTACACATCTACAAATGTTACGTGGCAAAGAAGAAGAGGAAAATTAAAAATGGACTTTTTCGAAATTTCTTATTCAAATTTTAACTCAACCACAATAATGCCAAACAGGGCCGTACAGGAGGGGAATGGGGCAGCGGCCCCGGGCTCCCACATCGGTGATGGCGGCGAAAATCTTTCTTTAGCCATTAATGTATTTATGGAGGCGTATATCTCATATATAATTTATAGCAAGGGGGCGCTATTGTCACGCATCGCCCCTCTTTTGCACGGCCCTGATGTAAAGGCAAATCAAAAGGGAGCCGTCGGGCCATGGAGCCGTTGAGCTAGGCAGCCTCTGCCCCCCCCACTCTCTCCACAGTTTTTCTAGCTTGTATGCGTTTATATGTAGCAATTCTACTTGTCTTCAATCACAACCGTTTCCACTGAAATTGTCTTCTCCGTTGTAGCCGCTGTGAATCTGGTTGTACCACAAACCCCAAGACCTCCCCATGATGTAGACCGTGGCGCCGCTCGACCCGGGACACGTTGCCGTGGTGTACGTGTACATGACGTACGGGTGGCCGGGCGAGGACTCGCCCGTGGTCATCTTGTGGGTCCAGGACCCGAGGGACACGTGCTTGCTGCAGCCGTGCGGGTGGGAGACGATGGCGACGAGGTTGTCGTCCGGTCGATCGAACTTCTCCGTGACCTTCTTGTGGAGCCCTGGATACCGTGACCATTGAACTTTGAGCCGGTTCAACAGCTGAAGGTCGTGGGTGACGCACGCCAGGTGACACCTGTCGTCATTGACGTCCGCTCGCTCCATGTCGACCCCTTCAATCGTCACGTCCGGGCTCTTTTCGGAGTCGAACCCGAAGCGGCACGTCGTCTGCAACGCCTCGGATGTGTCGTAGACCACGTGAACAGCGGTGATGACCCTTATCAGGCCCCAGTCTTTCCGAGGGTTCTCGGAATTTTTGCACGCACGACAAGGACAGGTCCGGTCGTCCTTCTCGGTGTACTTCCACACCATCCCGATGCGGCCCGTCCCCGTGCGCTTGTTGGTGCTCCCGCGTGAATATCTTTCCGAGGGTTCTCGGAATTTTTGCACGCACGACAAGGACAGGTCCGGTCGTCCTTCTCGGTGTACTTCCACACCATCCCGATGCGGCCCGTCCCCGTGCGCTTGTTGGTGCTCCCGCGTGAATTCCCGAACGGATACTCCCTGGTCGTGCCCGCGTGAAACCTTGGCCGTGCCGTGCTCGTGTAGCTCACCTGGATCCTGACCGTCAGAAACGCGATGAGTTTGATCACCTCCATCAGGTGGTGGTCCCTGAACCGCGGCGGCAGGCTCTCCGTGCGAAATTTGTTGTAAGGGATGTAGCTCTCGTGGCACGATTCTTTGACGCAGCCCAATACGAACTCCATGGCGCATTCTTCCCGTATGACGTCATTCACTTCATGGGTACCTTTATGGGACGAAACAAAAACAAAAAACATGCGTTATTTCAATAGTGTAAGAAGATTACCTGATTGTGATTGGTCACATGTTTGTAACTGCACATTAATGATTGAATATTTTTTTTACTGCCTGTCGCTGAAAATCAATTTTGTGGTTCTTGTTTTTAACTTCAAGTTTTGTGTAAGATAATTATTACAAGTTAAGTCCCCTCAAGAACCAAACACTGAATATCTCGGAAACGATATCCTTAACGATATTTGATTTTTGTTTTTTCCTTAATGCTCTAATAATCACGGTGTACCATGCCAGATTGGGTAAGTTTTAAAATTGCGAAATTATAGCTTGCTAATTGAGAAAACGTGTTTATTGTATCACACTTTATATGTGCTTATTTCAACAGAGTCAATTACGTTTAATTATCAAGATAAAACTACCCTCAAAATTCGTAAATGATTCATACCAACAAAAAAATAAAATAGATTAGACAATTTGTTGACAGATATATTCACCAAAGATGTCGTATTCGTCACGTGATAAGCCTCGTCACACAGACTACATTAACTGTGGTATCCTACGGTTTAACCTGACCTTTCGATAACCCCTGACCCACTTCCAAGATATATATTTTTTTTTCGTTCGGGACAATGAGTTGCCCTATATCTGTGCTACATAATGTTAGCGAACATTCTAGACCAGGCCTGCACAACTCAAAATGTAAGGAGGGCGTAATACATTATGAAAAACTTGTGCGGGCCAAAAGAAAATAGGTCTGGGAGCGAGCTATTACGAAAATAATAAGAATAAAGAGTTTTTCGTTACCTCGCGGGCCACAAAGTGGGTGCTCGCGGGCCACATGAGGTCCGCGGGCCGTATGTTGTGCAGGCCTGTTCTGGACTCTGGACTTTTGATGTTTTTTGTTGTTTTTTTTATTAATTATAAATTGCAACTGTCAATGGTATGAACCCCCCCCCCGACCCTACCCCAATTAAATGCGTAACGTTCAGATGGTGAGTATGTGCATGACGTCACAAGTGGATATATCTACATGACTGAAAATTAGGAGGAATCT